AGCAGGAAACAAACTCATGCTGGTGACAGCCATGAGAGATGGAAATACAAACTGAAGACATTTCACTAACTGATGCCACTCTGTCTTTAGGGTCCTCCAGGCCCACGAGGACACCCTGGCCCTCCGGTACGTATATGTGGAACGAGTTCAAAGACATTATTGAAACAAGCTAAAATTATTGCCGTGATACTCTCCAGAGGGACTGTTCACTCACTGGAAATTATAGCTTAGCCCCATTCCTCGTATGCAAAAATGTGTGAATGGACTAGTGTTTCTTGTGCTTTAGTCCATACCATCTCCAAGTATTTTACAGAGACAGCATTGTTGCCTCTCTCAGTCATCTGCATTGAGGGACTCCAGGGGAAAGAGGATTTCAAAAGGACACGACTGAATATCTTTGCAATACTGACTGCCCATCTTTCTGGCTGATGCCCTTTTTTTGCTTTGATTTCTAGGGACTGCCAGGAATTCCAGCCTCATTTGTAAGTTGCCGTTTTCTGTACGTTTGTTAATGATGATAATAAGTCATACAGAGCCAAGGTGCTGCTGGGACATCCAGAAAGAGCTGCTGGGACCCTGAAGACACAAACCCAGGTCCAGCAAGGGATGCTGTGTTAGCAGAGCAATGCTTGAATCGCAGCCCTAGACCAAGAAGCATTTGCTTGCATCAGGGCCTGTTCAGCTTCTAAACAATCTCAGTTACCATCTTTCTCACCCCACACTAGCAACAAGATGGCTTTGGGGCAGCTTTCCAGACGTTAATCGACTCGAACACCGCACTCAAGACAGAGGTACGAGGGTACTTTTGAACTCACTGGTCTTTGCTGGAGCTGGAGGCTGGGAACGGTCACCGCGTTGCTTGTTCTTTCTGTGTCCTTAAAGTTTATATACGCAAAGCTCTGGTTTATCGCTGTTCTCATGGGATAACCGGGGTTTATGCATGTAACGATCCAAAGAAAGGATGTGGTTCTGTTGTGTTACTCGTTTGTGAAGCTTCAAACCTCATGGCATGGCCATCGTGACTTTGCCAGCGCTTCAGAGATGTCCCGTTCAGGACAGTGCAAGGTCTGCAGCTCACTGGATCCCAGCCAGCACAGCCTGTCTTTGATCCACTGAGTTTTCCCACAGATAGAGCAGAAACTCTTGTGGTTACAGCACCTGGTGCCCCCCAAGGCACCTGACTTTGCCTCCTTTGCTCTTCAGGGTTACCAACACCCAGACCTTCTCATGCTGGACCAGGGAGGGGAGATCTTTAAGACTCTACACTACCTCAGCAACCTCATTCAGAGCATCAAAAGACCCCTGGGAACCAAGGAAAACCCTGCACGCATCTGTCGAGACCTCATGAACTGTGAACAGAAGATGAACGACGGTAGGAAGCCCTGGGTGTTCAAAGGCTGCATCCTCCCCAGGGCCATTTCACGTGGCCCAAACTGGTCTCCTTCCCTGGGGCCAGTAACACAAAAATCAAAACCTTCCGTTTCTCATTCACAGAAAAGGCTAAGTGTTCTTGCTAATCCTTGAATCCTCCATTTCTTCAGGTACCTACTGGATTGACCCAAATCTTGGCTGTTCCTCGGACACCATACAGGTCATCTGTAACTTCACCAACGGTGGGCAGACATGTCTTAGCCCCATCACCGTCTCCAAGGTACACACAGCTCAACCCCAGCACGGCATTTCCCATACTACTATTGCGAAATATTTACCCAGGGCTGCGTTGTCCCAGGACACTGGACGGTGACCACTATGACACAGCACACTGGTTTCTCCTCGAGGCAGTTAGTGTAGCTGTAACATTCAGAACTGCTCTCATGCAGTTAAAAATACACCCAAGACTGTTGTTGACTCTTGTCAAGACAAAGCAGTACGTTTGCAGCAACGTTTAATGAACCCATAACCTTAACAGAGGCCAGTAATTTTGCAAACATGCTGCTCCCAAATGCTTTGTTGAATAACTTATGTTCAGGTCACTCTTGCATTTTGTTTTCTGCCACCTGAGAAAGTGAGGTCACCTTAAACATACAAGTTTCCAATGAAGTTAATGCTACAGGATTTTTCTTGAGGAAGCACCTGTACCAAAAATACCAGTAACAATATCTGGGTTCATCTGCAAATGAACCTGAACCTGCTGTTTTGCTTCTTTGCAGAAGCATGTATTAAATTCAAAGTTTACATTATTTTCCTCCGCCTTAAGAACCTGCCAGTTCTGAAAAACAAAGGACCTGCTGCGTCCCCACGAAAACTTTCCAGACTGACTTGGCATCTGGCCCTTATGCCCACGCTCACGCCAGATCCAGTTCTGGACGGCCGTGCGTGGCCACCTCCAGACTTAAGCAGCGCTCGGGGACCACCTTTGCCGCCCCCCTCGCGCTCAGGCTGCCGCTGGCTCCCTCCGGCCCCGCTGCAGGGGTACGCCCTAACGTCTCTGTCGCCTTCACAGCTGGATTTTGACATCGGGAGAGTCCAGATGAACTTCCTCCGCCTCCTGAGCTCAGAGGTGGTGCAGCACATCACCATCCACTGCCTGAATACCTCCGTCTGGCGGGAAGGCTCATCCGAGAAACCTTCGGAAAAAGCCGTGCGCTTCAGGGCCTGGAACGGGCAGATGTTTGAGGCGGACGGGCAGCTCAGGCCAGAAGTGGCAGCTGATGATTGCAAGGTATGGTGCTGCAAAAGAGGGGAGAGGTGGAGAGAAATGCCAGGCTGAACCCGCCCAGGGCACACGAAAAGGCTCGAGTTGTACCAGTGCTTCTTGTTCTCCCAAAAAAAAGGGGGAGAAAGGTCTAGTTTACCTGTTCACCGCTTTAATTTTCCAGTCCGGGGTGCTATAGTGGCTCCTGTTAAGTAGATCGCCTTCAAACAGAAAACGAAAAATTAAATTCCAAATTTACATGTCGGGGGTAGCAGCAGTTAAATGGCAGAAGGGGGAATTGCCACTCGAAGGCGGTGGCCTCGGCTCTTGCCCGATGTCGCCCCGAGTCGGTAGCCACGTGTCAGCATTTTGGCTTCGCTGCCTCAGCAGCTGGTGTTTGCTGCCGCCATTCCAAGCTTGGTTTCCATCAACTCAATCTGGATAAAGGGTTCCCCAAAATGCTTTCTAAGCCTCACCCCAGACCTGCTCAGCCCAAAGGGCAGCCCCTTGTCTCGTGCAGGGCTTTTCAAGCTTACACCTCAGTGAAATGCATTCCTTTGAGCAGGATTCGCCCCCCAGTTAAACACCTTTTTCCGTCTTTCCCTCCTCCCTGCACAGATCAAGGATGGACGCTGGCATCGGACTCTCTTTTCGTTTCGGACACAGGACCCTCAGCAGCTGCCAATTGTCAACATCTACAACCTTCCTCCATCCGAGCCAGGAAAGCAATATCACCTCGAGGTCGGCCCCGTGTGCTTCCTTTGAACAAAGCCATCGAAACCGGGCTCCAAGGCTTTGACCCCATGTTTGGCCTATGTCTTTACACAGGCTCTCCCACCTCTCTGCAGCAAGGATAGCTGGGCTGTATCTTTTGGGTCAACTCTTGCTCTAGCCTTTGGCTCAAGGTCTCCAAGAACCCGTGATCTACTGAACTCAGCAGATTGTTGAAAGGAGGAATAACAAGGACGTAGGGGAAGCGGGTATCAGTCGGGACGTGAACAGCGAAAAGGGATCAGGGGACTAGATGTTGCAAGCGGTTCCACACACAAAGCTTTTTCCATGACCAAAGAAAACATTGAGAGAAACCTCAAGCAACTTGCAGCGTGTGTTTTTGTTCCCCCCCCGCCCCATTTTGTCTTACCTGGTTCCTGAGTTACCAAATGTTCTTTCCATTGAAAATTAATTAAAAGATAGAGCTTCCCTCTCAGAGCTTGTCGCCTTCTGGATGGCCGCATGCTGCATCAGGTCTCCCAGGCGGAGCTGTAAGTTGAATCTGGCTGCTCTGTGTACCGGAAGCATTTTGATGTGCAATATTAGAAGAAACAAAATATATATATTATATTATTTAAAGCAAAAAGAAAAAGGAAAAAAAAAAAAAAACGGGGAAAAAAAAAACCTAACTTCCTCCTTCCATGAGTGAGTTTAATCAACATCCCTTCTCATGCGTGGTGTTGGGTCAGGAGAGAATCCCGAAGCCAAGAGGGGGGAATGGAAGGAGGAGAGGGGAAGAGATTGGTGCTAAAATAGAGAGAGAGGATGGGCTCGTTTGATTTGTTTCTACCTCTCACTGTGAAATCTCTGGTGCTCTTAAAAGTGTGTTATTTTATATATATGACTTTAAACTATTTAAGGTTGTGAAGGTGCTACAGTGTCTTGCCACAGGCCCAAAAAAAAGCCCGTAGGACCATCTCTCTAGGAAGAGAGGAGGTTACGATCTACAGCTAAATCACAGAAACAGCCACCTTTAAAGGGATCCTTTAATCGCCGTGGATGTCAAGCATGTGCAACAACTCCAACCCTGTCCAGAATAACTTACAGGATACCTTAAAAGCAAATTTGCCTTTTTTCCTATTAATCAGCACTTCACTGCTTTGGGAGGGGAGTGAGGGATGCAGCTCATCTGGAAGCGCTGAGCCTCAGAGAGAGCTATTTTCGAGTTGGTTGTCATGTAACTAGTTTTGCTGTAGTCGCGTTGGCCACACGTCCGTGCCGGCTTGCACGTGCAGTGACTCCCTGGTCTAAGCTCGTATTTAAACCCAGCTCTGCAACCCTTCTGTCTGGCCCCTCTGTCAAGACTGACATGATGGTACCTTGTTTCAGAACCCAGCTGGGCTTGGAGGGGTTTTGTTTTGTTAAGTTTTGTAGAAATTTAGTCTCTATATGTAAATTTGGAGGATTTTTTTTTTTAAAAGAGGATAATTATGGTAATCTTTAATTCTATATAAGGAATAATATTGATGTAATCGGAGCTGTACTGTATCAGAAATGCTTCAGTGCCTGTTTGGAGTTTTCATGTCTCATATGGACTATGGATTTTATTTTTTTGAGGAAAAAAAAAAATATATGTGAGTCTCTCTTTGTGTATTCTTTTTTTTTTTTTAACTACTGCCTGCTGGTTGGTTTCCAACAACCATCAGAAAAGGTTAACAAGATCTGTCCCAAATACCTCACCCTCCACGCAGCCCTGCCCCTGCTCGGAAATACCTCACCCCCGCGCGGGGCCGGCTCGCCCCGGCACCCCCAGGCCAAAATCGCCATCGCTCATCGCCCGCTTGCTGCCTTCCCGTGCGCACACACTCCCCCGCTCCCGGGTTTCTCCCTCTCTCGTCCGCTCGCCATCGGGTTTGTGTGTTTTCTTGAGGCTGGAGTTACCGTTTGTTCTCATTAAAGCTTTTTTCCTTTTCTTTTCTTTCTTTCT